GGTTATTCAGGTCACTCCACTGGAACACTGACCGGCTCCTGTATGTGTGTGTGTGTGTGTGTATGTGTGTGTGTGTGTGTGTGTATGTGTTAGTGTGTGTGTGTGTGTGTGTGTGGGTTAGCTCGGTTTCTGCATCACCAAAAGCCATATGTACCCTGCAGCAGGACAGACGTGTGCACTTTACAGTCCAGGGGATTATGGGATGGATGCTCTTGAAGAGTCGTGTGCCTTTCCTCAAACACAGAGATGAAGACGCTGTGCCTTCAGTCTGCTCACACACACACACACACACACAGAACATGGATTCTGCCGATGTGCACTCACTCAGATGGTCAGGTGTGTGTGTGTGTGTGTGTGTGTGTGTGTGTGTGTGTGTGTGTGAAAGCAGATGCTCCTGGATTCAGCTCTACTGTTTACAGCAATATCTCTGGTGTGTCTTCAGCGGGTGATGATGATGGTGATGATGATGAAGAGGATTATTGTAGCTCTTACTCTGCAGATGTGCTGGTCAGAGGCTCTGCTGGACTGAGGGATCAGTCTTCACTAATGGATTTCCAGACTTCTGTTCTTTACAAACTGTATTTAATCATATAATGAAGAGTCGAACTGTCAGGAGATGTACAAAGCAAATATGATGCAGTGTGTGTGTGTGTGTGTGTGTGTGTGTGTGTGTGTGTGTGTTGGATGACAGTGGTTTAATTGTTCCTCAATGTTAGTGTCAGTAGATCACAGCTCTGGAGATAATCACAGCGTTTCATTCCGTTTCACAATAAAGCCACATTATAGTTAAAGACTTGCTGCACTTTATTCATGTGTGTGTGTGTGTGTGTGTGTGTGTGTGTGTGTGTGTGTGTGTGTGTGTGTGTGTGTGTGCGCAGGGGTGGGCAAAAATACACTGAAATGTGTGTTAAATCAGGCCCACACAGCTCAGTTTTATGTGTACAGAGTAAACAGGAGCACAGCGCAGCCTCGCGAGCGTCAGTATAATGCTGTTTAATAACACTACAGAATACTTTTACCCGGGAGCTTCACACACATTCACACACACACCTCCTCCTGTCAGTGTGCTCACTGATCAGTCCCCTCAGTGGACACCACTACAGCATCTCCAGCTGTTTTACCGGTCTAAAGTTCCCCTGCATCTCCACCTGCAGCACTGACACTGATGATGGTGGTGATGATGATGATGATGATGTGCTGAAGGCTCCTCATCCTGTTCTTCAGGACTGATATTCCATCTCCTGTCTTAAGCAGAGCTGCTGCTGCACTCTACACTACACTGCTGCTATTGTCTGTCACTAGTAGTCGAGACGAGTGTGCAGTGGTGGGCAGATGCTGGCAGAATAACACTCGGTGTGTAGTGTTGATCACTGGTTAGTGTACTGTGAGTGTAGTGAACACCAGCAGGGCTCCTGAGGAAGGGTATCTCACTAGCAGCACACTAGCCCCATGTAGACTATACACTGCTGTACACGCTGTAGTAGCCAGCAGTGTGCACTGCGCAGTAGGCAGTGAGCGTGTCAGCAATTTGGGACACGCCCCTCCTCCTCTGCCGGTGGGCGGAGTCTGAGTCTCAGTTGACTTCAGTAAGTTTGAGCCGCAGACCCGCAGCTGCCGCGTCTGGTGAGTTTACCGTTTCTTTACTCAGTTCGGCTCATTCTACCGGTGTACCGGCGTTTACCGTCACCGCAGAACTACAGCGGCGCAGGGTAACGGCTGAAGATGGCGGAGCGGTAACAGGCCTGATCCAGATTAAACCCGTTTAACGCTGCTGACAGACATAAACACACACACGCCTGAACGAGTGTAAGAAACACACGGGTGTGTGAGACCGGACAGCTGTGTGTTTGTGTGTATGTGTAATCCGTGTGACAGTTGCGTGCGTGTTTGTGTGTGTGTGTGTGTGTGTCAGCTCTGACAGTTTATCTGTCGTTTGGTTGCGCTGTGCTAATGTGTTAGCCTGTTAGCATGAGTTAGCGTATAAACGGCGGAATAAAGCGGTTTTCGGGCTGATTTAAGCACAGAGTGGACTCAGATGAACACCGAACCGAACACACACACTCCTCTACACTCATTAGTGTGTGTTTGAAGAGTCATTAATGAGCTGCGCAGGCCGCAGACAAACACCGATACACACAGATCAGCAGGAGCTCAGCTGAACACACACACACACACACACACCTCAGCTGAACTATTACTGTTCACACACACTCTGCTCAATCAGTGTGTGTGACAACAGATCGCTCCTGCAGACCCAAACTGAACAACAACACACAAACTGAGAGAGAGAGAGAGTGTGTGTGTGTGTGTGTGTGTGTGTTAGCAGTGTTTCTTCCATGAGCCCTCGGGTCAGAGGTCACCCAGCCGGCCATTGCTGATGGTCAACGCGGAAACTACACAAACTTCAGCCTGTGCTCGTCTGCAGTGTGTGTCTCGTCTGTGTGTGTGTTTGTACTGATGGTGTGTGTCGTGTAGTGACGATGATGTGTATGTTGTCTAATTATAATGAGGATGTGTGTGTGTGTGTGTGTGTGTGTGTTGCAGTGAATCATGGCTCGCAGTGACGGCTGAGGATCAGTGGCGTCTCTCACACACTTCTGACGTAAGTCCAGCAGCTCCTGTGTGTGTGTGTGTGTGTGTGTGTCCTGAAGCGGGTGAGTTTAGCCAGATCAGGTCAGTGTGTTCGAGGAGTGTTGAAGGTGCTCCTGTTACCGTGGCAACAGAGTGAGCAATCTCCCGAACCGGCTTAACTGATCCAGCTCTGAGGAACCGACTGCTCTCACTGCGCCCCCTACAGGAGAGGAGCACACACACACACACACACACACACACACACACACACACAC